CATTTGAGGCTCTGCTTGTGGTACCCCCTAGCACAGCTGCATTTACCAGAAAAGGCTGGTTTAGAAGGGGAGGATCTGAGCTTTTGAAGTAAAGACACAAAAAGACTTTGGGAGAAATAACACACAGGACAAACTTCTCAAGATGCCACAACGTGGACAGAACTGGTGGTGTTTCTGAAAAATTTTGCAATCCACAGGGAATCTAAAGCACTAGGTGAAAGGTACACAGAACAATCAATACAAATATGTGAATCTGACAGGCAAAAATCTCTCTTGGTCTCACACACAGGAATTACTTGTTAGAAAAAGCCACTCAACCCCTTCCTGGCTGAGAGAATCTTACACAGAAGGAATGGGCAGATGATTTGAGTCACTTTTCAGAGGGAAGCGGAGAACTCTCCAAGGGCAACTACAGGGACTTAGTATGGCTGCATACAATAAAGAAATCACTAACAGACATTTTATTAAAAAGTGGGAAAAAGGAAAGAATTTTGACAAATGCAAAAATTGCTTAAAAAACAATTACATCAGGGGAAAAATGAGGAGCTCAAGTAGAAAGAAAATTATTTGAGAATAACGAGGGCAACAAATGTACAAATGTGCTTGACACTACGGATGGATGGATGGATGTGATGAGTTGCATGAGCCCCCAATAAAATGATTAAAAAAACCAACAACAACAATTACATCAAAAATTCACTGGGATTGGATGGAGAATATTAATGTTTCAAATTCTTCACAATGATATTGATTTATCAAAGATAATAGCCAGACTCTGGCCTTTCTCACCACCCTGCCCCCAATACTCTAGGGCCCCGCTATCTGATATTTTTCCTATCCTGATTCAAACCCAGGTCCATCCTGTGTCCTGATTAATCTGCTTAGCTGCTGCACTAAGCCAGCCCTGAAGACACATGCTTGGTTGGCTGGCTGGAATCTGAGTAAGCAATGACCTACAGTGCGGGAAAGAAAGGATTAGGGGCGCATGGAGCATGTCAGTGTGGCCACAGCTGTTGTTGACACAATCCCATATGATGGACATCCGCCCACAGCACACGTTACTCCATGGCTATGTAAAAATTGAGGTAGGGAAGTGTGTGGTGGCCATGGCTGACCTGCTTCCCATGATGTGCAGCGTGTGTGCTTGTGGGAGTGGGTATCAAAGTACTGGTTTTTTTCTAGTACTGCTGTCATGCTCCCCTCTGGTTGGAAGGCCGCTTTGTACAGAGTTTTGGAAGATAAGTCATTAGTCTTCCTCTGAGGTACTTCCTTCTCTAGTAGTGCCTTAACCCCATCAGTGTGCAGAAGTCAAATCAAACTCTCAGAATCCAAATCATGGCACACTTGCTCAGCCAGTCAGTTCACCAGCAGTTGTAGAGACAGATCAGAAAAAATCCCTAGCATTTAGTATAAGAATTGTTCTTCCAACGGGGCAATTTCCTGTTCTTCCCAGGAGATCATAATTCTTCACGTGTCTGATGACCTATGGAAAAAGAGAACAATGAAAAATAAACAGATTATCTTCAAGTTATAAAAGTATAGATCGGACAGGTCTCGGTATGGTAACCCATTATTTGTGCCACACCTCCACTTTCTCTCTGAAAATTTTAGAAATGTTTGTGTAATGTTTTATATTTTATTTTGTTTTTTTTAAAAATTATTTTATTGGGGGCTTGTACAATTCTCATCACAATCCATACATACATCCACCATGTCAAGCACATATATACATTTGTTGCCCTCATCATTCTCAAAAAATGTGCCCTCCACCTCAGCCCTTGATATCAGTTGTTCATTTTCCCCCTCCCTCCCCACTTATATTTTATTTTGAAAGCAAATAATGAAGGATTCTTATTTTAAAAAACATTTAAACAATTTGCAAATCCACAATCCAACCGAATGGTTTCCACCGGTGCAATCTTTGCTTCTAACTGATCTATTTGCACATATTTTTACTTAGGACTCATCTTTTTTCCCTAATAGCATAGTATGTGTCACTGTACACATTTTACATTCTTACTGAATGCTTAAGTTATTTTTAATAATTTTATTTCATAAAGACTAGTACAACTAATACTTTCATATATAGTTTTCTTTCTTATATTGAAGTATTTCTTTTAGGTAAATTTGAAGAAAGAACTTTCCTCTTTTTGAACAGTATTTACACCATTGGCCACTTTTGTGACTCTGATTTCTTCAAGTGGCTACTCTTTAAGATATATACCTAATAGGAAAAATATGTGGAGACCTACATCCTTACCCAATATGCTTATTTAACAATTTTCCCCAAAATCCATATTATACTTTGACCTCATTTTTTCTATTAACTAGCAACTTGTCAAACTTAATGGAAGACAAAACAAAATTGAGATATGGATTGTTATAAGAGCTGAAAGAGTCCCCAATAAAACGATCTTTACAAATAAATAAATGCGGAGGGGTGGAGGGGGAGAAGACAAAGACAAAACAAAACCAAAACCATCAGGGAAATCTGGTAAGAGATCCCTCAAATGGTTTTAAGTTTGGTGTATGTATCACAAAGCCAATAAATCATCTCTATCAGAATATTAAACCACATCTGCATGGGGCTGTCATTCGTTCCGTCAGTCCCAGCGCAGGCAAACCTGTGGCTGCAGAGCAGAGCTGCTCCACGGTTTTCAAGGCTGTCATCTTTCGGAAAGAAATAGCCAGGTTTGCCTTCTTTTTGAACTTAAAATACTTTTTTAAAAACTTTTTATTGTGAATTGAGTGAAGGTTTACAGAACAAATCAGTCTTCCAATTTATACACTGTGTGTGTGTGTTATTTATTGTGATCACACGATGAAGCAACATTCATCCTTTTTCCATTCTTTCTACTTCTTTCCTAACCTTTGTCTTTGAGCAGGTGCTGCTCTTGTGACCCTGACAGGGTGCTGTTTCTAAGGATTGCACATTTCCCTAGTGCTACTGTTTACCTCTAGCAGCCTGTCTGCTATCTGGTTGAAAACTAAGTCACTGGGTAATTGAAGAGCCAAAGTCTCAGGGGTTCCAGCAATGTATCGGACTAGTAAGTCTGGTTTTTACGATTTTGAACTTCATTCCACTTTCTTCCCTATACTACGCAGGACACTTCAATGCGGCTCCTTGCAGGGCAGCGGGTAGTGACAGCTGTGTGCCATCCTGTTCTGGTCTGTGTGAGAGAGGCTGTAAGAAGCATCAGTCTTTATGCTAGCAGTTCAATGCTTCATCCTTCGTTCCACCCCAAGACTTAAGTAGGCTTTTACAAACAGCTCCATTTGAATTCAAGATGCATCCAGATTAGTCAGTTTTAGGGGGAAAAGTTACTTTACCGCTGCAAACAACTTACAACACACTCAAAAGGAAGCACCTCTTCTCTAAAAATCAGTAGAGCAGGTATTCAATGCATTAATAAAAAACTGTTTAGAAGGACAACTGGAAAGAAAAATGAAACATTAGAACTGGTTGCTGTTGGTGTGGAAGGATTAATGATTCGGTAATTTTTATGTTCCTTTTCTTCATTCTGTTGCCTGTGCAATAAATATAAATGAGAAAAGTACATATACTAAAGCTAAAGGGTTGTGTTTACCTTGGCTTGACTCTTTTGTCTTATTCTCTTTAGACAGTGGCCCTGTTTCTTTCTCCTTTTGAAAGCGGGTTTGTAATTGTTTGATTTCTTGATCATAGTCCTGCCACTCAGGGACAATTCGCATAGCTGCTTCCAGTTTGGGCTCTTTGGTCATTGGATTATTACACTGTGGAAACAAGATAACACACTTCAGCTGACTTTAAGAAAAGGCACATTATATAAAACTCAAGGTGTTTCTGATCTGCACATGAACGATACTGAGGACCAGGGAGATGGCATATATCAGGAGGAATACGGTACATGGGCTAGGAAGTCACACTGAACTTGTGTGCAGTTCAGAGGTGCTGTCTAAAGGCAAGAGCACTAAGAGTCTATCTGGAAAGATTATACAGCCTGCTGATTTAAAGGTCAAGTAGTGACGTAAATGGTGAGAACAGTCACACTGGGCAATTGAACATTGGACTTCTATCATCTCCTGCTCCAAGTAGAGAGAGGTGCTGAAATTACTACTAAATGTTCCACAATGCTTAAACTGTGCAACCATAGACATCACACTGGATTAAGAAGCAGATAACAACTATGAACAGCTTACCAAATCAATTGTCTTAGCCTTTTTCTTAGAGGCATCATCACACCAAGTCTCACACCAAAGCCATTCTTGAGGGAGAGATTTAATGGGCACCTGATGAATCATGTTATTGGGCAAATCCTGTTTGGTAGGAAAATAAAGGAGAAATTTAAATATTGACATTGCAATTCAGCAATGTTAATTTACTATGTGCATATGCTAATGCCATATTTTCAGAACTAAAAGAGTGCTTACCAAAAGCCTTAAAAACCCACCGTCATGAGTTCATTCCAAGTTATATCAACCTTATGCTGGGTGCCCAAGATTGTGAATTTTTATGGGAGCACCCAGCCTCAACTCCTTTGGAGCAGCTGGTGGGTTTAAAATCACCAACCTTGTGACTGGTATCCCAACACCTTAGAGAAGCTAAAGGTTTTACTCACAGCATTTGTAATCTCCAAATATATGGAGCCCATAAATGAGTTCCCCACAATAAGCAACCTAAAAACTTTCAGATAAACATTTGCATCAAGGAAGTCTTCTGAGTCTGCCCTGTCTGCTGAGCCAGTTTCTAAAGAGACGTGGTCCACATCTTTTTCTAAACTACTTTATGCTTTGAAGCTTTCTCTTTTCAGTCTGTCACAGAAAAATTGCTCAACTGTCTTAAGACTAACATGGAATATAAATGTAATAGGTTAAAATGAACACAATGATCAACTAATATATTAGTATAAAGAATTACATAGTCAACACTTGTCGATAACCTTTCTGGACACTGGTACAAAATGAACAGCTGCAAATTTTCTCCTTATCAAAACTTTCTAAGAAGTTAAAAAGTGGTTGGATAAGATATGAAATACTGAAAAA